AGGCCAAATTGCGTGGGCGCGTGAGAGGAATGACCCCGCCGTCGCTCGCTTGGGCTATTCGGATGCAGTGGACCGCCCCTCCGCCCCCGGTGGGCGCGCAGTGGACCGGGTGTCCCGCCGTGGTGTCCTGTGGTGTGCCGTTGGTGTAACGTCGGTGTTCCGTCGGCGGCGGGCGGGCGGTGGCCGGGGGTGTCCCGCCTTGGTATCGACTGTGAAGTCGGTAGTGAGATCGACAATGAGATCGCTAGACTGGGATGGATAGTGAGATCAGAAGTGAGATCGACAGTGAGGTTGATTGTGAGATTGGTTGTGAGGTAGAACGCGGGACGATAGTAAGATTACATCGCAGCGCAACATCGTCATCACGCGCTGTCGCTAATTCGAGTGCGCGTCACCAGCATCGTCACCATCACACCCCATCATCGCACCGATCGCATTTGCCAGCAGTTGGTTCTTTCCCCAGCCATCCCCCAAACATCCTTACCACCCGAAGGGTGGTCGTACAGGTAGCAGTTATCAAAAGTAGGCGCGTGCACAGGGACAAACAACAGCACACGCGGGCAGCAATGCGGCAGTCATGGCCCCTACCCCTCCGCGTTCTCCCTCCTCCTCCCCCTCCTGCCTCTCGTCCTCGTCATCCTCTCTCCTCCTGCTCCTCCTCTTCTTAACTTCCTCCTGCCACCTTCCTACCCCCTCCTCTCTCCTCCCGCCTCCATCTTCCCTCCCTTCTCTTCCCCGCCCCCCCTCCCCAAATTTCCTGCTCCTCTCCCTCCTCCTCACCCTCGACTACTGCTCTCCTCTCTCCCCTGACTCTGGACGGAAGGTAGTCGGCCCTCTCCGCGTAAGCTTGGTAAGCACAGGATTTCAAGTTCTTTTGTCCATTTGTTGTTTTGCAATCCCATTGTTTTCGGTGTTTCGTAATGGTGCTCTCGTTGCAGGGTGGGCGTAGTTTTCGGATCGGCGTTTTGCTCCCGTGGGTCAGAATGACGCTCTCGCCCCATCGCGGGACACCTTTCTGGATCCGATTGCTCGTTCATCGTTGTCGCCACTTTCATTTACCCTCCTCCGCCTTCCACTGGCCCTCCTGCTCCTCCTGCTCCTCCCGCTCCTTCCACTCCAGCTCCTGCTGCTGCTGCTGTTCGCCCTCGTCCTCCTCTTTCCTCATCCTCCTTTTCCTCCTTCTCATCGTCCTGCTCATCCGCCACCTCCTCCAATGTACACAGCTCCCTTTTTCTTTCTCCGAACGCGCGTGACACGATAGGCGTCCTCTTTGGAATTCCAGGCCCTCTGTAACATGCGTCGGTGAATGGAGGCGCTAGCGCACCTAGCTTGTCTCTCTCCCCCTCCTCCTGGGCCCATGGGACGGCAGGCGCGAGCGCTGCCTGCCAGACCCGCGTCTGCTGCAGAGGCCGGACCCACCTCCCCCCCCGCGGCCGAACCTGCTATCGCCTCCGCCGGGCGACACCGACGACGATGCCGATGCCGACTGCGACTACAGTGAGCGGCTTGAGTAAGGAACACTTTCTTTTCAAAAGGGGCTCGGTCGTTCCTTAGGTTTTCATGCGTTATTTACAGTTCCCTATGCGTTATTTGTTATTTATCGTTCCTTATGCGTTATTCCTTGGGATGAAAAAGGGGCTTCGTTCCTTATTTATCGTTCCTTAGGTCAGGCCGATGACTGTACGGCGCCCACGCTCATGCCATTGCAGCGCCCACGTCGACGCCCACGCCCGTGCCCGCGCCGACGACGCAGAAGCCGACGCCGACGCCGAAGTCGACGCCGACTCCGTCGCCGTGGCCGTCGCCGTTCTCGACGACGGCGACGACGGCGGCCCCGCCCTGCTCCCCCCTTCGAAGAACAAACAAAAAGGCACAAGCGTAAACTTGGGGTGTTCCGCGCGGACTTCTTGGAGGCGCTGCTGGAGGGCCCCAGCGCAGATCCAAGAAGTCCGCGCGGAACTCTAAGAGTTTACGGTTATGCACTTTTTTTGTTCCTCTCTCCCTGCTCCCCTGGTCCCTTCTCCGCCATGTGCTGCTGCTGCTGCTGCCCACCCTTCCAGCCGCTCGCGCGGGCGCGTGCGCTCGTTGCCGCGCGGGGGCGTGCGGGAGGAGAGGGAGGTCATATCCTCCTCCTCTCCCTCGTCGCCCTTTTGGAAGAGGAGGGGGGGATCAGGAGGAGGAGGAGGATGAGGAGGAGGAGGAGGAGACGGAGGAGGAGGAAGAGCGGGAGGAGAAATCTTGTAATTTGCCGGCTGCCAAACCAAGTGAACGTGACGATGACCACCCGTTAATCTTGCGAGGAGATTCTCGTTTCTGCCAGATCGAGCACCTACTTCAAGAGGGGCACATGTCGTTGTGTAGCGTGAAGCAGGCACGTCGGTGTCTGAGTGCTCTGCGGCATCGTGGGGTCTGGACGGCATGGTCTAGGTGTTGGCCAGGGTGATCCCAGCGCGGCCCCCAAGCAGCGAGTGAGAACAATCTGTGTGGTGCGGCGCAAAGCAGTCACAGGTGGGGGGGCACCGGCCGAACGTGCGAAAACACAGGCGGGACGGTGCTGCGCCCGAGCAACGGCGACGGGGCGCTCACGGGGCGCGCACACGCCAGACTCGAAGCCTGGGCCCAGCTCTCGCAGGACGCAAGCAGCCGCCCTTGGGTGCAATCGCTGCTCTGGGCAAGGGCCATCGGCACGACCCATCGTGCCCCTCCGTCCGTCGCCGTTCGTTGCACCTGGAGGCGCTTCCACGGCGCGCTGCAGCGGCCACTGAGGCGGCTATCCTAATCAGGACCTGAGCTGGGGCCACCTCCTCCTCCTCCTCCTCCTCCTCCTCCTCCTCCTCCTCCCAATCATCCTCCTGCCTCTTGACTGCCTCTGCGCACGCCTCCCCACTCGTGTGCGCTTCCTGCGCGCCACTGAGGAGGAGGAGGAGGAGGAGGAGGAGGAGGAGGAGGCCACTGAGGCGGCTATCCTATCCTAATGAGGACATCTCCTCCCCTCCTCCTACACCAGGGGCTCTGTGAGAACATCGAGGCCTGCCGCAGGGGCCTGGGGATGGCCGCGCCTCGTGTTGCGCTGGTGGGGCCGGAGGTCGTCCTTCTGCGGGGTGGCGGTGCAGGAGCACACGTGTGGCAGCGCTTTGCGCGCCTCTCGCGGAGCGACGCGCGGACCTGGGAGGCGGAGCGCACGACGCGGATATCCACTGCGTCGGGAAGTGCGAAGCTGGAGCAGCGTGGCCCAAACAGTGCGCAGCAGCAGCAGCCGCCAGAGGGAGGAACGAGAAAGAGAGAGAGAGAGAGCAGAGCAGGAACAGGAAGCAGAGACCACCATGTGCCTCCTCCTCCTCTTCTTCGTTCTCATTTCCACCCCCACTCGTCCATTTTCCTGAGGACATAGCGCCTGGTTGGCATAACACACACACACACACTTTCACTTTCTGATCTCATGTTTCAAACCTGGGATGCTATCAAACATTGCACGGATCGAGGATGGGTTTGTTCAAGTTTCCCCAATCAGAGCTTGCCTCTGTAGGGGTCCTAGCGGATTCATATGGTTAGGTGAGCTTTGCCGCCGATTTCCGCGGCCCGCCTGGGTGCCCTGGTGCTCGGGTGCCTGGGTGCCCGGGTGCCCGGGTGCCCGGGTGCCTGGGTGCCCGGTTGCCAGGGCCTTTTAGAGCCCTATAGCCTTATAGCCCTGTAGCCCTATAGCCCTATAGCCTCATAGCCCTATAGCCCCATAGCCCTATATCCCTATAGCCCTTTAGCCCTATAGCCTTATAGCATTATAGCCCTATCGCCCTATACCCCTATAGCCCTGTAGCTCTACATGCCTATAGCCTTATAGCCTTATAGCCCTATAGCCCCATAGCCCTATATCCCTATAGCCCCATAGCCCTATGGTCCTATAGCCCTATGGCCCTGTATACTGATAGCCCTATGGCCCAATAGCCCCATAGCCCCATAGCCTCAGAGCCCCATAGCCCCATAGCCCTATAGCCCTATAGCCCTATAGCCCCATGGTCCTATGGCCCTATAGCCCTATAGCCCTATCGCCCTATAGCTCTATAGCCCTATAGCCCTATAGTCCTATAGCTCTATAGCCCTATATCCCCATCGCCCTAAAGCCCACTAGCTCCATAACCCTGTAGCCCTAAAAAGGTTTTTTTTTTTTTTTTTTTTTTTTTTTTTTTTTTTTTTTTTTTTTTTTTTTTTTTTTTTTTTTTTTTTTAAAATCTGGTATCATTGTGTTTTTGCCTCGGATATCTTTACGATATCTGTTCCGACATCTTGGAACCACCAACAGTTACTCGGCGGATGGCATGCCGTTTTCAACATCGCGCTCTCGTGTGAACCGTCTTCACAAACGGTGTTTTGTTCCTACATTTTATGGGCGGGCCAGATGTCAACATCGAGTTACTATTCTATATTCCATTTCTTGTTTCATATTCAGCCGTCAAGGTCCAATCACATGCAAGGATGGATATCGGGCTATATTCAAGTATCGTTATTTTTTAAAGACTTCTCCGCAATCAGTCGTCCGCAACTTCGACGTGTCTCGCGCTCTCGTTCTTTCCATTGCCCTCGCCGTCGTCATCACCCTCACACTCACGATCACCCTTTCCGTCGCCCTCGCCCTCTTCCTCACCCTTACCTTGGCCCTCGCACTTACCCTCCTCGTCACCCTCACACTCATTACCGTCTTCATCGCCATTCCCATCGTCACTCACACTCCAATTCTGACCCTCTTGACTGTCCGCATCTTCACCCTCTTCATCATTCTTTCATATCCTTATCTGCACCCTCACAAGCTCATGCTCGTCCTGATGATCGTCATTCACCTCTTCTTCTTCATCGTCCTCCTCATCACCGCCACCACAATGATCGCACTCACAAAATGTACCGTCTTCTCCATCACCATCAGCCTAATCATCACCGTTGTTATTCGCTTCATCATCATCATCATCATCATCATCATCATCATCATCATCATCATCATCATCATCATCATCATCATCATCGTCATCATATACAGAGCCACCCTTACACATATACACATACATGTGCATACTCTGATACATGATCCTGTTCCTCATGATCACTGCCATCATGTTCCTCTTCCTCAGCCGCATCCTCGTCCGTCGTCGTCATCGTCGCCATCAGTACTCTTGCCACCATCATCCACGGTTGTTCCGTTACGAGTCGCGGGCCGCGTGCACATTATGTTTTTTTTGCGGCATCTCGGCCTCTCTTTCGGCGCGGGCCAGAGATGCCCACGGGCGTCGTGGAGGCGATCTGCGGAGGCTCTGGGGTCGTCAGGAGCGACATCCTGAACCCAGACGGCTGCTTCCGCGGGCGCGCGCGCTACCACTTTGCCCCGTCCGGCGACGCCGCCGCCCTGCGCGTGGGCGACGAGGTGAGCGACGCAGACAAAAACGGGGCCGCCTTCACTGGCACAGTCTCGTGAGCTGCCCGCGTACAGTCGGGGCGTTGACCTAAGGAACCCTCAATAAGGAACGAGGCGCCTTTTTTCCACAAGTTAAACTTCGACTTCCTATCGGAAACATGAGGAAAACCTGAGGCAAGCTGTGAAACACTTAAGGAACGCGGAGCCCCTCCCCAACCAAAAGGGTTCCTTCTTCAGGGCCCCGACTGTAAGGTCGTGCGTAGGCGTTCACGTTTCCAATGTGGCGTGCCGCGCCGGCGGCCCGCGTGAGTCACCGCGTAGGGTCGTTGTGTCATCTCTCGGGGGCGGAATCCGAACCCTACCCTCGCCGATCAGCGCTTCAGGCAACTCGATGGGCGGCAGGGGTGGGGTTCGGAGCTCGTCGAGCGCGTGGCGAAAGCCGAACCCTACCCCCGCCCTACATCGATTCAGGAGAATCGATGGTTGATGGGGGTAGGGCTCGGATGTCGCTGCCCAATTTCCCGTGAGACCCGTTTCCTTCTCCCAGGCCATGATTCTCTACGCGAGTTTGCTTACTGCAGGTCTGCTTGTGTGGCGTTCCGGGTTTGCCTGGCGGCTGTCTGACTCGCACGTGCCCACGATTTGTGAAGCTCCGGGGGCCGTGCCCGGGCCCCATCGCGTCGTCGGTTCGGTACACGGCCGCCGCTGAGCCGAGCCATGGCCTTGCATTGTGCAGCTCTGCGTCTGTGCTTTGTCTCCGTTGTCGCCTCTACTTCGGCCCGTTTCTAGGCTCCCTCGCCCCCCCGCCTCTCCGGACGCCTCGCGCCCCGTCTCGCCCTCTTCCCCTCGTGCCCCGCTGTGCACCGGCGCGCCCCGCCGCTGTAGACCGCCGCCCGACTCTCTTGCGACCGCGGGCCCGAACGAGACGTCTCGGCCCGTCTCGCTTTTTTCGTCGCCCAGGTGACGTTCGGGGTCTCCTGGCCGGCGCGGGGCGAGCCGTGGGCCGAGCGGGTGCGCCTCGCCTCGCGGGCCGCGCCCGACCGGCCGCTGCCTGTCGCGGAGCGGTACCGCGCCCCGAAGCGGCCGAGGCGGCCGTCGACGCAGAGGCCGTCGGCGCGGCCGCCGCCCGCGGGAGCCGCCGCGGAGCTCCGAAGAGGAAAAGGTACCAAGTCCTCTCCTCTTCGCATCGAGCACAAAGGAACCCCTGACCCTTCTGGCACGGCGAAGACGTGGCCTAACTCAGGTCCCCGTCTTCGCATTGGGATCGTACATCTGGGCGGTTCGGTTTGACACATCTGCTGAAAAGACACCCTATCCCTGATCTCACTGGCCCTCCTCACTTCGGTCCACTCCCAAAGGGTCAGGGACCCTTTTCTTGCTGAGCACCCTCCTCTGAGACCCTGGCGCTGCTATTTTTTTTCCACCACGTCGGGCGACGGAGTGTACACACACGCCCACATGGGCCAGGGGCTGTGCATGCGCCGCCCTGGCCAAGCCAGGAGGGCGTGGCGTATGCGCCGCTGCTGGGTTCAGGATGGGCCCAGCCGGGGAGCAGGGGATTCGGGGGTGGACAGACCTCCTACCCTGCCACGTCGATTAGTGAATTGTCCGCTTTGGGTTCTCGAGAGGGCGCCGCGGCCGTCATTTTCCAGGCGTGCGCCCGCCAGGTTTGGGCCCGAGGTCGTTTTCACTAAACCACGTTTTACTAAAGGGAGGTCTGTCCATCCCCGAGGGATCCGCATGGACTCCGTCGCCCTGCCACGGGCGCCTCCGCCCGGTTTTTTGGGCCCCGGGGCCCTCGCGCATCGGCGCGGCTCGAGAGGTGGCGCGGAGAGGTGGGGTCTGGGGCTCCGGGCGTGCTTCTCCGCGCGTCGGGCCTCGGGGGGAGCCGCCGCGGAGCGAGCCGCCGTGGAGCTCCGAAGAGGGAACCGGTACCGATGCCGCTGCCCCTTCCCTCGGGCGAAGAGAATTTATGCGCATACGCCGATCCTTGGTGTGTGTGTGTGTGTGCATCGTTCTCTCTCCTCTGTCCCCTCGTCGCCACGGCTGAGTTCGCCTCGAGAGCCTGAGGGGAGGGTGGGGGCAGGGACGGCGGCGGCAGGGAGAGGGCAGGGGGAGGGGGAGGAAGGGAGGGGAAGGGGGGAGGGGCAGGGAGGGAGGGAGGGGAGAAGAAGGGAGGGGGGAGGGAGGGAGGGAGGAGGGAAGGAGGGAGGAGAGGAGGGAGGAGGGAGGGAGGGGTATGGAGGCGGCGGGGCTGGAGAGGGAGAGTGGGGGGGAGGGAGGTAGGGAGGAATGAGGGAGGGAGGAGGGGGGGGAGGCAGAGAGGGGAGGGGAGGTGGGGGGAGGGGAGGGGAGGGAGAGGGAGAG